TATCTTTAAGTGAAACTGTTACGTTTCCAACATTCAATGCCACAGAATATTAATCATCTTCTGTTAATGCTCTAAATTTGTGATGTTGTGGTCTTGCCTTTAATCTGTAAAGTTTCAGCATCATATCTATAGCCACAGTGCACACTTTGGACACTACAGCTTGGTTATCTTAGTTGTAACTTCTATTTGGAACTTCCGAGTGAAACCTCAGATATCATATCTTGTTGTACTGTGACTGGGAACATTATATTTTCAAAGCGAAAATTTCAATGTAATGTCTGACAACTATAACTTTGCCTAATTTGGGGTATACCTATCAATGATGGTTCCTACATAGTTTTACTTAGAAAGGAAATGGTGTTACCCTTAAGGCAGATGACATAGCTTCCATTGTAGAAGGACAATTCTTTTATTTCTAATCTCCAATCATCTCTTTCAGCTACATGAAATAAATTTCAACTGGTACATTACTAAAATTCGCATGTGCAGTATTCCAAGAGATGGTGTATGCTTTCCTAGGAAAAGCCATAAGAAGCAGCTTCAAAGAAAAGATGTGCCACATTTACCTACTGTTTCCAAACTTCTTTTATGACTACTCTGCATTTATGTGAGTGTGTGTGTGTGTGTGTGTTTGTGTGTGTGTGTGTGTGTGTTTGTGTTTGGTAGTTTGAATATGCTTGGTCCAAGGAATGGCACTATTTGGAGGTTTGGCCTTGCTGGAGGATGGGTGTCAGTGCGGGGGTGGGCATTAAAGCTCTGCTGAGTGAGGAAGAGGAAGAGGAAGAGGAAGAGGAAGAGTTAATCTTCTCTTAGTGGCCAACAGATGAGGATGTAGAACTTTCAGCTCCTCATTCACCATGCCTGCCTGGATCCTGCCATGCTCCAGTCTTGATGATAATATATGGAACCTCTGAACCTATATAAACCAACAGCAAATTAAATGTTATCCTTATAAGAGTTGCCTTGCTCATGGTGACTGTCTGCAGCAATAAAACACTAACTAAGACAAAGAATCACATAAGGTTTACAAAACGTGTGGAATATTTGCAAAGTTATAAAGTCATTCAATTATTTAACCATTTTTAAAAATTATTTATTTATTTATTTATTTATTTATCTATTTACAAGACAAACCATTATTAATTTTATCAACTCTCTTAGGTCCAAAAGAAAATGTTTGGACAGAAAAAGAATGTGATTCAATTATTAATTCAGTTCTTTACTTTTGAAATAAATTTACAATTAAGCATTCTTAAATGTTCACTGCTTAGGATCTATATGATATTATATAAAAGTTTGATGGCTTAAATAGTCCAGCTAGATATTTTGGTCATCCTGATAAGCCCTTAGAAATAGTGATCATGGGACTCTGTTTATTGCCTTGCTTGTTCTTTGACTATTTGTGTTTATTGTCTTGCTTGTTCCTTAACTATTTGCATCCATTGTATTGCTAGTTCCTCAACCTAGAACTAACCTTAATACTTGATTGTAATTAAAATGGTATAAAAGCAAAAAAAGAAGAGGAGGGATGGGATATGGGGTTAATGGGGGGAGGGAACTGGGGAAAGGGGATAACATTTGAATGTAAATAATTAAATTATCCAATAAAAAAGAAATAAAAAGAAAGATGTCTTGACCATAATGTGTGGACAAGCAAAACATTATTCTTAATTTTAGTTAGGAAAGCAAATAACACTTTTTACTAATACACTAGGAAATTTTAATATGTTTCAGGGTTAAATTTATTCACTAATTTTATTAAGGAATCTGATTATTTAAAATGTATGCAGGGCTCATAGATCCCATAAATTATGATTCCTGATGAGAAAGAGAATTAAATAGATACTGAAGTAGTTAATAACCAAAGGCAATATTCAGTATAGCAAGGAATAATAAAAGCCTTAGTCTCAATATATGGAACAATTCATAATTTGAGAAAATAATTGTAAAATATTTATCATTTTTCTCCATGCCGTAGCTTTGGTAGAAAAGAAATCTGGCTCATGTTTTTGAGCAGACAGAGGACTCAAGATCTGTTAGGAGAGCTAAGTATTTGGATCCATTCCGTTTTTATTTTGACAATTAATACAGTTCAGTATAGGCCTAGCAACATACACTTGCAATTCTAATGCTCAAGAATTTTGAGGCTGAGAATTACTAATTGAAAAGAACCAGAGTACAGGGTGAAAGCACTAGCCTGCAAACTTTACCACCTGAGATCAGAGTCTCAAAACTCATGTTGAAAACTTGATGTAAAATCCAAGATGCCCAGTGAGGCATGAGGGCCATACCCATCCCAATGTCTTTTTCCTGGAGAAGGGATACTTTTGACATCAACCCCTATGCAGTCAGGCTTGTCCCTCAGGGGGACCGGAGCCATTACAAGGTCCTCTTCAATAACTGGAGGTCAGGCCTCTATCCCCGCCTTCGCAAGATTAGACTCGCCACAGCCCTTCTATACTTAGAGAAGGGAGGAGATGTCAGGGGCAGCCCTGATTACACACTGAAGACCTAAAATCAGCCATAGGCCTAAAATCAGCAATAGGCCTGTCATACATGTATACTAACACCAAGTCTTGGGTCTCTGTGAAAAAACATTGAAATAGATGGCTATAAGCTATTGTAAACAGGCAGCTTTTGTGGTATTTTAGCAGCCCCAGTAGTCATAGACCTTGTAAATAGGTAGCCTTGGCAGACAATACCAACTTACATAAGGACAAGCGAGTCATAGGCAGAGTCATAGTGACCTGTCCCCTGAACCTTCACCCAGCCGATATCCTGTTCTGAAAGATATTTGTATTCCCCCTGAACACCCACACTCCAGTGTCATCCCCTTCCCCACATCCTGCCTTTCTGTGTTTATATCCCCTGTGTGAATGGATTATGATTTGAGAAAAAATAAATAATTTGAAAAAAGGAAAACAAAACAAAACAAAATCCAAGATTCCTCCAGGAAATAGGATGTAGAAACAGAATAATCTCCAGAAGCTCCCAGCTAGGGCCAGCAGCAGCAAAGATCCTAGCACAAGAAAGATGGATAGGCATGGACCAGCATCCAAGGTCCTCCTCTGATCCCCACACATGTGTTGTATTTGGTCCCCTACAAATAATGAACTGGCTAACAAGTAAAGGACCTGTTTATGAACAACAGCCATTAACAACAACAATAAACCCACTCATCACTTTACACTAAGACTTGTAAGAAGTCCTCCCTTATTTTAAAATTAACGTTTTCTGACTCCAACATTTTGAATGTTTTATGTGGCCAGCATTAGAGGTTAAAGATACCTAAAGGTTCATCATTGGAGTTTATGTGAGAAAAATGATTGAGCAAGTAAGAAATAAGAAACATGCACAGATTTGAGAAGCACATACTGTATGTATGTACATACATTCATTGATACATACATACACACATACATACATACATACATACATGCATACATTTTAAGTAATACAAGAATGCTAACAGTTCTTTTCAGAGAAAATTCCAATTGTTTTTAAAGAAAGATGAAAAATCATAACACAAATTTTCTTTTTTCCCTACTCATACTTAAAGAGATATAGCCAATTTTTAATTTAATTATTCAGAGTTTTTTAATTTCTAAATATTATAATTTACACATGAATAGTCTTTATGTAAATACAAATATAGGAGACCATGAATATCTTTGACTTCCACCTGACTTACACTACTTTTAGAGGAAATATATTAAGTATCTGGCAATAAGGTATTCAGGCAATTTGATCAGACATTATTTTCAGCATAATTTGTTTAAAAAGCTTTGCAACCAAATCGGTACGATTTATCAATCATAGTTACAGGAAAAAATGTGAACCCATGTACCAATTAAAATTCTACTCTGGCTTTGTAACCATTTATAAGGTGAAATAAATTTTTATTTATGGAATGGCATAAGTCAAATGAGCTATAGCACTACAATCACTGTTTCATTATTCATCAAAGACTCAGCCAAAATAATATCTGGATTCGCATGACTTTCATATGGGAGATCTCTGCAGAGATAAAGTCAGAAATTATTTCACTCAAAATACCTCCACAGGAGCAAACAAAACTAGAATCATTGTAGATAGGCAAGTAGGGCCAGAAAGATTAAAGAAGAAAAATAAGTTCAAGATGTAATAAAATCATTGTTGTTACCACTGTCTGCACCAAAGCAACAAATTAACCAATTGTTACGTCAAAATAGTCCAGGAAATTCTTCAAATTATTATGTCAAACTATATTCTAGATACTAGTGATGTTAACTTATATACACATATAAAACAAATAAAAAAACTGGCATAAAAGAATGGATATATGGTAATGTTGCATAATAATTCAGAATAAACCTTTGAAACCTCCCAAACTACGGAACATGATTCCATTTAAACAATATTACTCTAGGCCTCTGTTTTTGCTCTTCATGCACACAGAATTAATAATTTTTGTTTCTAGAAAAAACAATTGTCTGAAAATTGCACATCCACTAACTATAACAAATTTAGCAATCTCATTCTTATTTTCACAGATCATGTTAGGAAGAAAACTACAAAATGTCAGATTAACATTTCAGAATGTATTTGAATGTAACGAAGGGAAACTGATTTAGTTAGCAATGCTAAATAAAACAGACAGTTCCTACAGATGCTTTCCCTGTAAGACATTAAATAAACAGTGAAAATGGCAACCATTTTAATTTAATAAACCAAATGCTGAACTTCTCTGAGTTAAGTTTCTGCTTGACAAAACCTCTGCTATTTTGGCAAGTATTTTTCTGGTCAAATAGAAGTGGTTTTTGGAGCTCATGGTATTTAATGAAATCACAGATGAGTCTTTTTACTGCCTCTTCCTGTTTTCTTCTTGCCCAAACGATGAACTATATCAAGCTGAATAAAACAACTTTATCTTTGTCCTCAGTTTATCAGTATCAAGTACAAATGCTTAGACTATTTCAGTGGGATTCACTTGATACGCAAAGCAGAAACACTCAACTTACTTGCCATGGTTTCATCAGCTCTCTGACTCCCCTGGAGTCTTCTAGGAGCTTCTCCTTACGGGAAGCATCCTGCAGGACATTGGCAGTTGTTTCTGCTTCTGTAATCCAGGAAAGAAACTTTTCCAGGTCCAGAGGGAACTGCTGCAGTAATCTATGAGTTTCTTCCAAAGCAGCCTCTCGCTCACTCACTCTGCAAAGGGACAAACAGGCAGATGGAATTCACAAGTATCAGGATGATATATACAATGAACTCAATAAAATGAGCAAACATGATGTGCTGCTGAAGGTCTCTATTTATCCAACGACCAGAATACTAAGCTTTTTGTTTAATATTCATTTCTATTTAATCTAAAGGCCTCTTCTTGGAGGAAGGCATTCAAGTGGATCTATTAAAATTAAACAACATTGTGCTGAGGATGTGGCTCAATGGTAGAGTGTTTTCCTACTAAACTCACAGCCCTAGGTTCAATGTCTGGGTACTCCCACAAGAAAATGAATAATAATTAAAGATTTGTATAAAAATTGATACACATATGAGAGGAAGAGGGAGAGAAACATTTTGGGCCTTACAAATTTTGCTCATAATGATTCCAAATTATCTTTCTTTCAACTTTAAGTTTGTGTTGAAGTTAATCTTCATAGGCAAAACCTTAAGTTCCCTTGCTGTGTCTATCTTTCATATAACACTGAGGCAAGAAACAAGATAGAAATAAGTAAAAAGTCAGGAAAATACAAATGGAGACATGGGAGGTGAATACTGGAGAGATGGATTGAAGGTGAAGAGAGAAAAAACAGACTAAAACAAAGAAAGATGCAAAGATAACATATCACAGAAACAATCGTGTGAACTATCACCTTGCTAAATACTATCTGGTCAAAAGTTCTTCCTTAAGTTTATTCTGCATTACCTAGAGCATTTTCCAAACGAAAAAAAAATATGTCCAATTGAAAATGTAGAAACTTACAAATCAGTTCAGTTTCCAGTATCTTTTGCCTGTTGTGTGACATGGCTTGTTACTAACTTCTCTGATTTCTCATTTCTTCTTCTTCAGTAGCTACTGTATGATGAACATCAACTTTACATATTATGACCTCTAATCATTCTTAATAAAAAGGTTAGTTCCTTCTGCCTATACCTCATTTTTGATTTCCCATTTTTAAAATGGAAGAAATAAAAGTTCCTTATGAGAATTTTAAAAACAATATTTTCTAATTGTATGTATATATACACATTATATGCCACCCATATATATATGTATATATATATGTATATATGTGTGTATATATATATACAGATATAGATATAGATATATATCATATAATGTGGATATTCACACAAATGCCCCGAGCAAAGATCTGCATAATAATAGCTCAGAAAGGAAATTGCCTTAAGCAGTAACAGTTCCATCTAAAATGATTCAGGTAAATTTTGTCTGCAATGAGGAAATTAGTACTCTATTTAAATACCTTATTTGCCTTCGATGACTACACAAACACTTTCTGGGATTAAACATAAGCTAAAAATGGATTTCAAAAAATTGAACACTCAAATATGATACACAGTGCTTGTTAAGATGTGATTGTCAATAATTATGCAAAACTGCAATTTATTTTAGCAGCAACTTTATCATGGGATGTGCAAAGCAGGCAATAAACAACTCCTGCCGAGCTGGCAGCAGCAAAACCCCCAGAAGAGCTGTTTATTCATCATGGGTAAGGTTTTTGCTGAGCACACAGTCTTTCACCATGTAGTCTCAGCATTCATTCTGGATAAAAATCTTCTGTCTACATTAAGTGGTAGAGGAGAGAGTATGTTTATGAGTCTACAACTATTAGAAAAACATGACCATTGCACTAAGCTATTTATCAACTACTAAATAAATGTTAATACTGTACAGGTAAAAGGTACCATGGGGTTCTGGTTAGGAAAAGTAGTTAAATCTGGGACAGCTGTAGGGCTAACCTGGAGTGCTGATTTTCCTAGTTTGTAGTTAAAATGTCAATCCAAATAGAAACACTTAAATTGCTGTCTGTTTATTGGAATTTCAAAATTTCACGCCGTTGTTACAGCTCTGAGAATATGAATATGAAAGTTGGGTATGTACTATACAGGGAAACTCCTGAGTAGATTCTGACAATCAATGGTACTAACTGGCAAAATAGACAGTTTTATGCAGTTTATATTAAGACTTGTCCTATCTCCAGTCTAAAACGCAAGATAGAAATAAGCTGTCCCATTCTAGAAGATAAATGCTGGGTTAAACATTGACTTATTTTTGAATATAGTCCAATTTCAGATGCAATAAAAGGACATTATGAAAGTCTCTCGTGGCAGAATGAAGCTTAGGAGATTAGACAGTGCATTGTATTCTCTTTGCCGTCTTCACGCTGGGGGCATTCAATCCATCTGAGCTCCTCTGCCCTTAAATGAGAAACACCACTCACCTTCTGCCTCCACAGAAAGTAACCAGTAAAATACTTTCAAAGCAGGTTGTAGGAAGTTAGAGGAAAGGGTTCTAGCCAGATGATGTGTTTTTTACCCAAATCCTACCAACAGATTTCTGCTTTGTAAATTAGGCCCTTGGGAAAGCAGAGGAACATTTTTCAGGATAGTAAGGCACCATTTTCTTCAAGGATACCCTTGTGGTCTGAAATATTGACAACATCAGGCTGAATATTTTCTTATTCAGAAAATTCTTTAAAAGGAATTCAATGGAAGCAATGGCAGAAAATCTCTTCAAAAGAGCTATTTTCCAAACTTTTTCGATCACAGATGCAACTGTTGTTTCCTGCTTGCGTAGGGGTTTTAATGACTACAAAATCACTCCTGGTTTAAGGCAAATATATTGAACTCCTGTGTTTAAACTGTGTCAAGTCTACCCAAGAAATACGTGAAAGGTATTTAATTTCCATATCTGCGCATTCAAAATAGCTCTAAATGTATCCCCTAATTTTTCATTTTCTGTAACCATATGGCTACGGATGGCTTATGTGATAAAATAAAATTATAAAATATGAGAATAATAAAGGAATAAAAGATTGGCTAAGGAGAAAAGACTGCAAACACGAATTATTTTAAAGCTGGCATATTTAGGATATGCAATCCTATAGATCCTCAAGATAATTTCACTGTATTTTAAAATGAGTAGCTATAAGAAATTGTGAAAAGGCTTTTAAAATTGCAATCTTCTTTATTAAGTACTTTATACATAACAAAGCCTAGTTCACATTTCAAGCTAAGAATTTGGTGATTTCTAAAGGTTTACTTTCTAGTTTTAATGTCCTCTCTTAGTACATATACAGGGATAGTATGGAACAGTCATTTTGAAATATGGTTCATGGACCAGTAGTCCCAGCAGCAGCATCTGAGAACTTATAAGAAATGCAAATTCTCAGGCCTCAGGATAGACCCACTGCAAGAGGAACTCCGTGGTTGGAGTCCAACCAGCTGTGTTTTAGCAAGCCTTCCAGGCATTTTGAACACATGCTAAACTTCAAAATCATTTCTGCTAGGGACAAAAGTTTGAGAACTACTGTGAAAGTAGATGCTAGGGTGTACTGCTCAGCTCCCTGCTTGAGACTAGTAGATTTCTTATCCAGGTTTCTTGGAGTGTTGCTGGCTGAAGTTTCTCAGTGTCAGCATTATTTGAGAATTGGACACAGTTAAAAGAGCCTCCTGCTCCAAAGTTGTTCTCTTTATCCCTGAAGCAGGCACAACCCATAATACTGGCACACATCTGATATATGGTAAGTCTGGCTCTAGTGCATCAACTCAGAATGATCTTGAGGGTGACCCTGGTTTCTCATTTGGAGTCAGATGGGACCAATTGTTAGCAATCATACTCTTGCAGTCTGGCTTCTACTTCTGCCTTATGCCACTTACTTTCCTTGGTTTCCACAATAAGCGGTGATCCTGAGAACACTTTTTAATTTAAAAAAACAAAAACAAAAACTGGACATTAATTGCTTTCTTAAAATCTGCTTTCTGGGAAACTGAATGGCCCAAAGTGTCATGTTAAGGAATTTATGTGGAGAGCTTTATACTTTCTCATGCAGATTGTGATTTCAAAAAGAGATAATAGGGTTCTCAAATATCAGCTAGTAAAGACTGTTTGAAGGAGCAAATTTTTGGAGCTATGAAACAGTGCAAACTTAGATCAGCCCAAGAAGGTGCTCACCCAGTTACAAAGCACGGAAAGCATGACCTACCACTGCTATTAAAAATATATCTGGTTATTAATGAGGCACATATTCACACACACACACACACACACACACACACACACACACACGCACACACATCCACTGCTCTGTCTGAATAAATCTCTGAGCCTTCACCTTTTCTATGAATCTGAAATCACAATTTTGATGTGGGATAATCTTAGTACAAAAAAAAAAAAAAACTAAAGAAAGGAAGGGACATTTGTTATTTTCCAAGGTAAGGGTGAAGAATTTAATATGTGTTGGAAATATAGATGGAAAAACTTTCTCAATGAATTTTATTTCTAGATTAAAAGTATGTGTAATTAACAAAATAAAGGAAAAGGGCTAGGGGATGCCAAGATCCTATCATGTATATGGAAGGGGCTTATGCAGTCACACCCCTTCCTGAGGAGCTACTGGCAGTTAACAAAACTGTAGGAGGCAATGTTTTTTTCAATGGTGTGGCCACTGAGATGTTGTCCATATTCTAGTAAATAAACCCCTCCCTGTGTTCCGACAAGCAACTGTAATTAAATAGGGTGGGCCAAAGGAAGACAGAAACGTTGGGAAGAAGAAGAATTTCATAGACAGGGATAAAAGATGGTTATGGAGGTGAGAATAATCAGCACAAATTGTGTGTATATGCACATCTATGGTAATTTAAAGTTCACTATTTATCTTTGGTGAGGTTGAATGAGACAAGTTTTCACTCTATAATCCTGAGTGCCCTTGAGTTAATAGCTTTGTTCAAACTCATGGTTATCTTCCTATCACAGCCTATAGAGTGCAAGGAGAGCAACCACACATATATTAAACTGAAGTTGGAAATTTCTGTGCATATCAAATTTCCTAATTAATACATTATATGTCAATGTTAAAGCTCAATTTTTAATCAATTTGCAAACATTTTCTTCTTTCTTTCTCTCTTTCTTCTTTCCTTCCTTTCCTTTTTTTCTTTCCTTCTTTCTTTTGTTCTCTATTTTTTTA